ACTACACTGTAGCTTTATAATAATAATAATAATAATAATAATAATAATAATAATAATAATAATAATAATAATAATAAATAAAACTTCTTTTTGCATCTCTTCCTTATCAATCTCTTGACCGGACAGAGTCACACTTTACCAAGTGCAAAAATTTCTTTTTAACATAATAAAATCATTATATAATACACAGATTTCACTAATAAAAATCTTCACTCATCTTATATCTTCTCCTTTTATTACTTCTCAATATTACTTTAACTTTACAATTATTCTTCTTCTTCTATTTTCTTTTTTCTTAAAAAATTTTATAAAAAACAAAAATAACAAAAAATCTCAAAAATACACAAAAATATATATATTTATAACATTTCCTCCTAATACTTCACTGTCATATCTATTAATAACACTAAAAATAAAAGAACTGCTAATTCTTCTTCTTCCTCTTCACCTATATACACTATAGTACAAAATTTCTTAGGTATATTTTTCTCATCTTCAAATAATATCGACAAGCAAACCCTTATTAGCATACCAAATAATTTATCCAATCTCCAATCTTCCTAGCAAACAATCCACAATATGCAATCACAAGCTAATCATACAAAAAAAGTAAAAATTAATCACATCGATGAAATGGAATCAGTTAACACAAAACAAACAAACAACATACTTCAAGTAAATAATGCTCACACAGCCTCATCTAATCAGTCTCATCTCAATTAGCTGATCTTGAAGCAAATCCTTTCTCATCCAATAATACACATATTCTTTCTTCTATATTATATAATAAATACATAATCAATCCAATCTCATCATCTTATAATACAACCCCAAAAACTATATCCTCTGATTCTGCTGACAACTAATAGATCATCATATATAGCACTAAATGATTCAGAGAATAGATCAAGAAATTATCACTCTCTGAAAATAATACTAAAGACAATATCAAATATATCAACAACATTCTTCAAAATAATCCAGACTTTTTAAGAGTCAAATCATTTTCTCTTAACCAAATAAATTATATTTGTACTGAATTTGCATCAGACAAATCTCTTTAGGCAGCTCTAGACATCTCAATAAATAACAATTACATCTCTGACAAAAAACCACAACTCTTCAATTCAATTGATCTGGCAACAATTACAATACTAAGAGATATTCCTCTCAGAATAACTAAAGATCAGATTCAACATATAATAGAAAAATTTGGAAAAATCATCAACATAATACAAAAAATCACATTCAAATGGGCTTATATCAAAGTTTAATTCGAATTACCAAAACAGGCAGAACTGGCTATTAATGAATAGTTTATTCTTCTAGACACTAATTACATACACATTCTTTTAATAATTAATCAACTTGAAATGATCAAAAAAAGAGATACATACACAACTAAACTTCTCAATCTTCCTTATAGAACAATAATCTTTGAGCTTGATGATTTTTTATAGAAAATTCAAGCCAAATCTTGCTTCATTCCCTGCTCTTCTATCTATTACAACAGATAACACTTCACAATAATATTCTTTGAAAATGAAATTGATATGACAATAGCTATGCAATAGCATTTCACACTTTGCAATTCAAAACTTTATTGGAAATCTCCAGCTGTAAAAACATGCAGAATCTGCTTCAATCCCAATCATAGCATAATTTTATGCACATCAAAAAACAAAAAAGCATGTTAATACCAACAGCTAAATAAGCTGTATAAAAACCAGGATATTTCCTATCATAAATTTATAATCACTTCACCAACTTTCAATTACAAAAAAACTTTACTTCAATCTAACACAACCAACAAAGACAAATCCAAATCTGCTAATAATTTAACTACAAAAACATCTGAATCCTCATCAAATTCAACTCTCATAAAATATTCACATGAAATTCTTGCACTCAAACAGGACTTAGAAACTTTCAACAAAAAACTTAGTCTGCCAAAAAACAAATTAAATTTAATAGAAACAAAACTTGATATAATCATTAACAATCAGAAACAAGTTTCTGTCATGCCAATCTTTAATGATTCTCAATCATCAATCCATCCTAAATTATTAATATTCGAGTTACTCACTACTTTTATCACTATCACAATATCTACATCTTCAGACACAAATAACACAAACTCTCAGTCTTCCATAATTTTATCCCTCCAAACCATTATTGCTGAAAAAAATAAAGAAATCAATTATCTCAAATCTCTAAATCAGAATCTCATATCTAACTTACAATTTTTACAAAATAAACAAAAATCTTTACAAGAATGTCTAAATCAAATTGAACAATATCTTTCTAATGAATCACAATAATAACTCAAACATATCTCAACCAACTCAATCAAACCCAATAATTAATTCATCATTCATATATATTAATAACTCATCCTTCATAAACAAGTCAGACTACTCAAAATCAACTAATCCAAATTAACCATCATCTTCAACACTTCCAATAGAAGATCCAGTCATATCTGACAATGACAATAATTAACTCTTCTATGATAGTATTGAACCACTCTCACCATCTCTCAATATTCAACTATCTAGTCACAGATCATGATGCCAACTCAACACTTAAAATTCATCAATCAATTCATCATACCTATATACAGACAACTCTCCTTTCATAAGCAATACACAATACACTCTATCAAAAAACAAACTCACTATCCTTCATCATCATCATCAAACAGCCTTCCTGATAATTGCAATAGTTCATCAACATTTAACAATATTAGTTGCAAATTATCTAACACTTGATGATTTTGCATACTCAATATGCAGGAACTAAACTCTCCAAGTAAAGCAGATAATACTTTTTAATTCTTCAACCAACACCAAATAGACTTCCTATGTCTCATAGAAACAAAACTCAAAAGTCACATAGCAAAATTTTTGTTTTCCAAATCAAAACAATATCATCACCTATTTACTATCAATGACTAATAATCATTTGAATCAGAAGTTAGCATTCTAATTAATCAAGAATGGGTCAAACACATCCAAAAAGTAAATTACATTAACAGTCATCTTATTCACATCAATCTTGTCTTTTCTGGAAACACAACAATACATATTCTGATTAATTATTTTTCAGCATCCTTACTTTCTAATAATAATCTTATCAAAAAAAAATATTATGATACATCAACTTAATTCTCTCACAATCTGATCATGTAATTCTCCTAGGTAACTTTAATGAGCATTTTTTCAAGATGTCAAAAAATGGAATAGTTAATCTTCTAATATTCAAAGAATTTTATGAAGCTATTTACACATTACACCCACATGTAATAAAGTCATGGCAAAAAAAAATATGTGGGCATGTGACTATTGAGGGCTGCCGATACCAGTTTGAATAAAGATCTACTTAATGATTGACTGAAGTAATCATATCATAATAATAAATTTTGATTATTACATATAAGGTAAATATTTATGCGTACAAATTACTAAATACTTTTTTATATACATTTTGCTATATGTCTATATATTAAAAACTTAATATATTTTTATATGATACTATAAGAGAGACTTTGTCTATTTTTTATCATTATCATCATAGTATAAGATATTTGTAGTGATAATCTTTTATTTATTTAATAGAAACTTGTAGAATCGCCCTACTTTAAATAAATGATTATATTCCACTTTTCATTAGATATAATAGTATATTAATAACAATTTATTACATAAAAGAACATGAATAAGAATATTAATAACTATTTATTTAATTAAGATAAAAAGGTAACTTTCTATTCCTAGGTGGTTGCCAAGTGCGTTGTTATGTTCTTGCATTAAGAGCTTCTTTGCAAGCAGTAATTTTCTCTGTGATAGGTTTGACAAGTTTTGTAAATATATCATAAAACCTATTATTTTGTACATTTTCCTTAGCCAAATCTATTCCTTCAATTAGCAATTATTTAATATTTGCTAACATTATCCATCTTTCTTCAATAACAGTCTGTTGGTCTAAGATAGATATTATTGTTTCCAATACTTCTGATATATCTTCCAATACTTCATCTATAATTTGATCATTATTCTCTTGTGAGTCAGTCTGATCTAAATGAATTCGAGAATTATATTGCTGATCGAAAGCAATAAATGGATAATTATAATGTCTCAGAGTATTTCGAAATTAAGGTATAAATTCGGAATTAAGTCTAGTTTTTTGCACTATCAGATGCTTACACAATATGTATGAATTATTTAGATATGCTCTGCATGAGCAAAACTATAAATTTGTATCAGTTTGATATATATTTTTATCATTAATAGTTTTTTGCTATGTCCTATTCCACTCCTATTTGAACAAATATTACCATGATAGAAATTCATGGTTATTGTAATATCATTGTCATGTAGTTATTTGATTGATAACCAATCACCTAATAATAATCTCTGTTAATTGATCAAGTTGTGGTCAATTGTAGTTGTATTTGTAGTCATGTTTCAATACTTTCCAATGTGTCTTAACTAACATTGTTATCTGAGCGAGTGGAAGTGCATGTACATATGATGCTCAAAAAAAATGATCCCAATATTTTCTTTGATACCAATTGCACCACAGGTATCTCCATAAATGTGTTAAATTTTTTAGTCAACAAAATTGATAAGCTTCAAATATATTTTCACAATATATTTGATCTGTTATCCAGAAAATATCTTTGTGTATAGGAATTAGCAGATATGCAAGTGCATATTTTTTTACCATGATAAGCAAGTCTTTTTTATACAGTTCTATATTAATATTATTATTATTGCTGAGAATTGGAATTCAGTGAGGATCAATGAAGTCAAATTATTTGTTAATTGCCTGTGCAATGTCAACACTATATTGACTGTTTTTCTCTCATTTCTCTTCTAATTTTCTTATTATAGTACGTTGTACATACCAAAGACAAATTTGTATATTTGTTCTTTTATCCCACGCTACTTCTATTGTATTAATCTGTTCAATATCTTTATTAACTAGAACAAATATTGGAAAGATATTTTCTTGTTGCAAATTTAAAAAAAAAGCATGAAGAACTTTCTCTCACCTTTGAATTTGATTATTATTATTACTGCTTGAAATATCTTCTAAAGGAATGAAGGTATCTAAGTATAAATATGCAAGTGATACATCATGGTTGCCATTATTAATTACTATAGCAAAAAGCTTGAAATGTTCTTGATTTATCTTAAATGTTGAATCAATGGTAATTTCAGTAATATTACTACTCCCAATATATTATAAAAAGGGTGTAACAAATTCAAGAGCTCTTACAAAATCATTTTCAAGATAATAAATTACCTTATAATTTTTATTTCTTTGCATACATTGTTCAATAAAATTTTTTGAGAATATGAGCTGATTTTTGCTGTCTGTAATGAATTATTTTTTTGACAATTTCAATATCTAATAATATACTTGCTGATAAGTATATATTTTTAGATCAATTAATTTAAGCAGAGATAGTCTTTTATAAAATTCAATCTTCTGCAAGCTATAATTAAGATTTGTTTTTATTCAAGCTATAGCATCAGATGAAATGTTAACTTTTTTATGAGTCGGCTTTGGATAACTACACTTATGTTTGATTGAGACTGTTATTTTCTTTCTTTGATAATCAACTTTCATTGTAATGCTGCTCTTACATGGATAACATTGTATTGCTGGTCTTACTTCCCACTCATACCTGGTTAATTCATTATTATTAGACTTTGAATATTTACGTTCTTCTCTCTGTGTGCAATCAAAATAGATGATAACTACCCCTGTTAGTTTACCAAGTTTTCTGTTAGTGTGCATATTTTGAATTTCCTAATAATATTCTGATCCATTTTCTGCATATTCTTGAAAAATCTTGGCGATTTCTAGTGCTATTGCTAATTCTGAATCTTGATTATTTGTATTATTCATATCAATAATTTTATCATCAAGTTCTATTTTAATGCTAAAGTTTATGAGATTATGGTTATCAGAGAATTTGGCTTTTATCACAGTTTCTATGTTCATAACATTATAAATGAGATCATCAGTATTATATATATAATTATATTCATCATTTTCATCACGCTTGACTTCTGTAACAATTAGAGAATTGATTTTCTTAGAATCTGACACACACGCATTTATTTCTTTAACAGAATTTTGCTCAGATTGTCACAGCTTTGCATTTCTCAAATAGAGATTGCATATGGAAAAGATTTGTGTCTTCTGGCCTCTAGTTCATATAAAATCAATGATTTGTCTATGAGTCTTGCATTTAGAGCAATATTTAGTTTCCTCTGTCACGATGATACTAACATCATTATTACTCTGAGTAGATATAATATATATAATAAAGTTTGAGTTTGTTATGTGTATAGTAGTAGGAATTATTAGATAGGATATAGTAAATATCTTGCGTAAACAGAACAACTATGATTTCTTTAACATGTTTCTTTATTTTCAAGTCTAATTTATTATTACCTTTTATAACTTAATCTGATAATATAAAAAAAGGATATTATAAGCGGACTATTTTGTATTATCATTAGTATTAATTTTCAACAATATCATTATTATACAATCAATATTTTAGATACAAAATATTATAATAATTAATTTTTCAATAATATTATTAATCATATGATTGATACTTTAGCCATAGGATATCATAATTATTAACTTTTTAACAATAAAATTAATTATATGATCGATATTTCATAATCTCACATTAAAACTGATAATATCATTAATCAAATATCTATTTTATTAATCTAGTTTACTATTTATCTTTTTCGATCATATGATTAATGACATATTGAAATTAGTTCTCATTTTTATGAAATTATGATATCTTAACTGTATGATTAATGAAATTGAAGAATTAGTATTTAAACATATTACTAGATTAAAAGATTATCACTACAAATATCTTATACTATGATGATAATGATAAAAAATAGATAAAGTTCCTCTTATGATATCATATAAAAATATACTAAGTTTTTAATGTATAGATGTATAGCAAAATATATATAAAAAAGCATTTAGTAATTTGTACGCATAAATATTTGACTTATATGTAATAGTCAAAATTTGTTATTATAATACAATTACTTTAGTTGACTGTCAAGCAGATCTTTATCCAAACTGATATTGGCAGCCCTTGATAGTTACATGCCCACATATTTTTTTTGCTATGACTTTATTACATATACCCACAAAGAGATGATCCCACTTGGTTTCATCAAGATACCAACTGCAGACTAGATATGATATGATATTCATCAAAGATCACATCTCTTTTAATACATGCAGCTATAACAGATCCTCAATAGATCATAACTGATCACCTTTCAGTACTTTATGATATCTCAATCACATCTTTTGCTTATTGTATTTCTTTTCACATTCTAAAAAAATGGAAAATCAAGCAATTCATCTACGTAATAAATAATCTTTCAGAAGAAGTTTAGGAAAAATATCAAGAACACATAGATACTCAATGCAATAATACTTCTCTTTCTCCCAATAATAACATCAACTCTCACTGGCAATTACTAAAAATCATCATTCTCAATGCAGCAAACAGCTCACTTAAAAAAAATAATTGAACCACATACCTTCTTCACCCAAACTATTCATTATTCTCAATAAAAAACTCAAACTAATAATACAAACACTCTCTCTCATCTCACAACTCATCCTTCCCATTTCAGAAAACATCATTCAACTCTCAACAAAAAACTTAACAGAACTCATCAAACTAGAATTCACTCTCAACCTACCAATCACCAAATGGAGTTCTCTTTCATCAATCAATATACTAATTATAAACTTGCTACAAATCAAAGCTCATCTTCGTGATGAAAAGATCTTACAAGCCCAACAAATAAAAACTTCTCAAATTTATAATATAATTCAAGAAAATATCAAACAATTTGACAGTTATCATACCAAAATGTTATTCAACATTCTAGAAAAATAAAAGCACCAAATAATCATCAACAAAATTATCACTCCATCTGGAATATCAAATTATTCTGAGATTATCAAGGAATTAATCAAACAACATTTCATTAATTGAACTTGCCAATATATAACTATAATATGACCAGATCAAGAATGATAATAATAATACAACCTAATCATACATATTCCAGATAATGCATTCAACTCAGTCTCAAATCCAATTTCAAAAGATGAATTTCAATATATGCTTACCAATACTAATTCATTCAAATCACCTGGATCTTTAAACATACAATACATTCTATTAAAAAAAGTAACTCTATTCTTTCATTCTCTTCTCCTTGCTCTTTATAATAAATATTTAACAGAAAAAGATATATCTTCAGAATGAAAGTACTCTAACATAATACTCATCCCAAAATCATATGAATGGGAGGGCAATCTTGATCTAACACATCTAATCACACTAATCAAAACAGCTCATAAAGATCTTTTATCAATTCTGACATACCATATCTCTGTAATCTGCAAACAATTCAATATTCTATAAGAAAATAACTTCTTAGTATTCAAAGACACATCTATTATCAGTCCTATTCACATTATAAATAGCATACTTGAAGATTTATATGAAAAAAATTAGGAAATCTGGTGTATCTTCCAAGATATGTACCACATCTATGACTCTGTCAGTTGACATATACTAGAACTAGCTTTACAATGTATTAAAATAAACTCAACTTATATTATACTTTGTAAAAATATTCACACAATGCATCAAAACCAAATTATAACTAAATACAGACTTACTACATCTTATCCCATCCTGGATAGTCTTGACCAAGATGAAATTAACATACCTATACTGTGGCGAATCTTTTATAATTTCTTGCTATGTCAAATAAAAACAAGATATTCATCACAAGAATACACCATAACATCCAAGTTAACATCCACTCCCACTCAAATACCTTATCAAACTCATCTGACAATCAACAATCTGGCCTTCATTAATAATACAGTCTGAATTGTTAACAGTTATCAAGTAATGTAACAGATTCTTAACACTGTATCCCAATTCTACAACATGTGTGATATTGAAATCAACCCAAAGAAAACTGAAGTAATCTATTATAAACCAACTGAAATATTTTCTAATACAGAACTTTATATTAGGACAATTAGTAATCAAATACAAATACTCCCTCCAAATATCTGCACTAAATATCTTGGTCTATACATTAATGCAAATGGTATTTTTAACACTCAGTTAAATAAAATAAGATCAGATATCACACTTATATCTAACTTACTAAGTTGCAAATGCATAATCAACAAATAAGCTATCTATATCATTAACCAGGTGCTCATCCCAACATTCAAATATCACTTC